CAACAGGTGTAAAATTGAGATCAGACTATGCCAACCTACTGGCAGTGACAACAACTCAACTACAAACTGCAACTAGAAATATTGCCGTGTCAGGACCAATTGCGTGGAACAGTCTTCCGCAATCGCTCAGAATGCCTGGACTAAGGCTTGATGATTTTAAGAGGAGCTTAAAAACATATTTATTTTGACATAGAAATACTTTATTGATTTGTACTTTATTAACCTTCACTGATTTCATTTATAATAGAGAGCGCTTTCGAGAAATTTCAATTTTATAATTTATAATAAATTGTTAATAATAATAAATTAATAAATAAATAAATAATTAATAAATTGTTGATAATAAAATAATATAGATATATATATATATATATATATATATATATATATATATATATATATATATACATACATACATAAACATATGGATTAAGATTGTCAAAAAAGCAATTATTGATGAAAATCACAGCATGTTCAGCGTTAGTTAACTTCCAATTTAACTTTTCGATTTTTTTAACGGTTGATCGTAAATCATTTTCAAGTTTTTTTAGCTCAAAACCAAAATTTTTGTTTATTTCATGCATAATAGAACAGAAAAGCTTTTTTTTGTATTCCTATAGACATTCGATAATAAATATTCAACAACGGGCAATTTGAATTCTTCCTACCTATAAATTTAGAAACATAGGAATCATCGATAATTAAAACACGTAAAAGTGTTATATTTAAAAAAGTCTAAGATTGTTAAACTAAGTATTCACTTTAAACAAACAAGGAGTCAACAATGTAGGGTAGAGGCACAGTATATATATATATTTGAGCATCTGGGCACAAACACAATATCAATTTGAACACAGAAGATGATATAGAAAAATCGTAAAGTTAAAATGGAAGTTAAATAACGCCGACATGCAGTGATTTTTATCAATAATTGCTTTTCCGACAGATAATATATATATATATATATTTATATATATATATATATATATATATATATATATATATATATATGAAATAACCGAATATAAATTGAAATAAAGATTTAAAATCAAAGAATCATTAAAATCATTAAAATCATTAAAATCACATATATATATATATATATATATATATATATATATATATATATATATATATATATATATATATATCTACTATATATATAACAAATTTGATCAAATGATTTTGCCCATTTAGTGATTATAAATTTTTTGAAAAGACATTCAACAACACGTAACTGTTGCAATTTCTATTTATTAAAACTTCCAATCATAGCGTGGCTAACAACGTTGTTTCGACAAAGATGCCATCTTCAGAGCCTATAATTTGAAATAACTGAATATTAATTGAAATAAAGTTTTAGAATTATAGAAATTAAGAAAATACAATGGCAGTGAACCGAAATTGGAGTAAAAGTGATAATCTTGTAATAACATGTAAACATGATATAAATATTTATAACGCATATAAATAAAATATATATGAAAGAAAATAAAACGAATAAATTAAGAAAATAAAATATTAAAATACAAATGAAAAAGTATCGATATGCAACTATAAATAGACTGAAAACGAAACACGTATGTGTAGTGATTGGATGTATTAGGCGAACGGGTAAAATAGAGCAATGTGAGTATGCGTTGTTAAATTATGAAAATATGAAAACAAGAAAGGTGAATAAATGAATATTAAATATTAGATAATGTATCGAGTGACGTGAAGACGTAGGATTTTTGACGAGTATTCACGGGTTGGAAATCGCCCAGTGTTGAACGATATTCATATCGTTGCGGCAACTTCGTCTGTTGCGGATCATTTTCACTGGGGACCGTAGACGTCAAATCGCAATATTGCGAAAATAGTTCGAGAGTGTGTTCAAATCTATTAGTTTGTTTGTTCATAGTTGGCTTGTATTTGTTGATGTATAGGGCCTCACGGATTTTCAACCGACCTGGATTTGCTTCGGAATCGAGAATTGTGGTATTCTGATCATGTATGGTTCCCGTAAGAATCGTGTAGTGTACGTTTGCCATATGTTCTTTGATACCACGATCCTGTACGTGTGAGGTGAGCCTACGGGAGAGAGTAGTACGCTTGTGACCGATGTAACTATCCATAACACAGTGAAATTAATGGCACGGAAAATTAATCATATATATATATATATATATATATGTGTGTGTGTGTGTGTGTGTGTGTGTGTGTGTGTGTGTGTGTGTGTGTGTGTGTGTGTGTGTGTGTGTGTGTGTGTGTGTGTGTGTGT